TACATTTTAAAACCTATCATAATTGTGAAACTAAAGACACCATATTTCTAGGAATAAAAAAGTGGATAAAGATTGGAGAGGAGGAAATTTTGATGCGAAATGAGTAAATGTGAAATGGAATGGATCTTCAAATTAAGTACTTTGATTCCTAAAGGGACTAAACGCAGATTTTGAAATGTGTCACTTTTTAAAATAAGATCCCTTTCTCTTAAATGGCTTCCACTCCTTTGATTTCCTTGTTTTAGAGTTAGTTTTACCTGGTATGTCACTTTACCACCCTATCATTCCAAAGGGTTCACATACTTTTTCTTGCAACATCTAGTAAATTGATTCAAAGAAGTAATAAGAAAGAGAACACCTAAAAGATTTTGAATTAGGTAGAATATTTAGAAATCAACTATTGAATGTATTGTTATATAGTTAATCTGCCTTTCTTGTCTCTATGGTCATGCTGGTATTGGTATGGAATGAGATATATGGGTATAAAACTGACTTTCCTTTATTATCCCTGCAATTATACCGGTTCGGATATACTACAGGGGAGATGAACCGCAAGCTGGAATGCACGTAAATGACGTATCGGCTTAGAATTACAGGACCGGAAGTGACGAACCGACATGGATACCCGGAAGTATGCAAAGAGGGAGGCTGGGCGTCACCGTTGTTATGGTGATTGCCCGCATATCACAAGCCGGAAATCAATTAGTTTACCCCTGAGAGGGATACATATAGCAGGAATCAGTCCAAGAGAAGACACAAAGACTTTTTCACATCCAGCTGAGGAAGCCTTCACGGCGAAACGCGTTCTGGAAATACTGTGAGGAACAGACTTTGGAATAATAGACTTTTATGCCTATATAGTGTCATTTTATATATTTTTTATATTTTATTGATATAGTATAATGAAGTTTATATATCTTTTATTAATCACTATTGGCATTTTCCTGCTATTTTTAAAGAAGCATTGTGGTCCTTAACCACATATGCTATTGGATCAGAGCCGATGTAGATGGCTCTGGGTTTGTAAGTACCCTATTTACCTTACTTATCACAAGACATAAGAGCTACGATATTGCACCATATGTGCTTTTCCTTATCTATTATAGAATACAAGAGAGAGAAGAACACATATTAAAGAAGTGATAAGGGTCGCCTTTACTGACCCGAAAGCGATTCTATTGAGCTATATGTACTTAGCTCCTAAAAGTGTGAGTGGGGAATTTATATTCTCCTTTGTATATACCTACCTTTTGTATTACAGTTTGCTCTATGTTTTGTTTTTTTTGCTCATGTTTTTAGGGAACTGCAGATCAACCATTGTGATTTATATGAGACAAGTCAAGGTATCTTTGTATTATATCTCTGCTCTCCACTGCACGGAACACTTTCCATTTTGGGGGTTTTACCCATTTATAATATAGCACTTCACCTTCACACTGGCTATACTTTGTTGTTGAAAGATAAGACCTGGGTGATATAGCAGCTGACCATTATTTGGAATATTGTCAGAATATTAGCGCTGGTAACTTCCCCTGTTTTACCTTGTATGTTTTATAGTCAAAGCAAAAGATCAGTGAAACCAGTAAACATGTTATTTCTAATGTTACCCCCTCATTCTTGTTGGTCCTCCATGAAGCAACTAAGTGAAGGCTCAGCAGAGCCTAGCTTCTCCATGCCATCAGAGACAACCTGTACTAAAGAGGTAGAGTAGAGTACCCAGGTAGTGTCCCCAATGTATTGTCTTGTTGGTGGTGATGTGGTATTGTGTTATTATCACACTGAAGATGGTCACTGAGGCTAAAGACTAGATGTGTGGGAAAGCTTTTTTCTTCTCAAGGTGGAAGGGGTGAGTTGGTCGCTAATTGCCCACTCACTTTTTCATTACTTTTTTAAGTATCCCCTTTTTAAAAGTAAAATTACTCCTGCTACTACTGATCTGATTTTTTTATTTTATTTATAGAAGACTGCAAAAAGGTACACTATCATTATAGAACTATGTTCTGCCACTTACTTTTTTGATAAGCCCCGATATAATTTTGACTCACAAATGGCATTGCAAAAATGACTGACCGCCTAAGTTAGGCATATGTAGCTATTTTTAAAATTTACTATATTAATAAGTGCCTTTTTTTACCTCTTTATTATTTTTCGGAATCTTTTACATAGACGATATTAGCCTGTGCCCGTGAACAACTTTTAGACCATGTGAACTAAATGTATTTTGCCCTTCTCAAGAACAGCAGTTAGTTGTGACTGAAATCATAGATGAGACATCAAATGATACCAAAAAGTCAGTGGTTTAGAAATGGCTCCAAAACCTATGCATGACATTATTTATCATCATATAACTCTCACTTCTCTGGAATATACACCATTGAATAAAGCATTGAAAATCACCTATACTTCGTGTTAAACTTTTTTCATGAGTTGTTCCATTTTAGATTAAATTTATATTAAAGATTTAGCAAAAGGGATCATAAAGCAATTTATTCAAGATAAAGGGAGGTGTTTTTCTATATTTAAGTTTATTTTTCACATCTCACAAATACATATTTGTTAAATACAACATTAAAAATCCTAGGAAGAGACAGTTCCTCTTTAATACAAGCTTCATCATTATGTATATT